CCCGAGCGCCGGCGCCGCCTCCTCCCCCGTGGGCAGCGGTGGTACCTCCCGGCGTCCGGCGAGCGCCCGGGCCCAGGGGCCCCCTTCTCTCTGCCCCCACGCACGCCGCCGTGCTCCGCCCGGCCACAGAGTCCCCGCCGGGCGAGAGCGGCTCCACATCCGGGTACTGCCGCACCCAAAGCCGGAGCAGCGCCTTCTCTGAGTGACCAGGAGCTGGATCCTCAGCAACACTAGGGTGGGAAGAGTCTTAGCCACGGGATCGCTGAAAGAAAGGGAAAAAAACGATCCCTAAGCGTCACTCCAGGGCCCAATGGGAGTGCGCATGCGCGGGGTCCGGAAAAAGGGGGTGGAAACCCAGCCCCAGCCCTGGGCTATGGAGGGCGGACCCCTGGAGTTGCCTCGAGTGGTGCGGGGCGCCCATTGGCTGGGAGGAAAGGGGTGGGACTGGCCTGGAGGCTGGGCTGGAGGAAGAGGATGGAGATGTGGAAGTGGCCGTGCCAGTCTTTCACTAAATTACAATGGTCCTAGGTGTTATCGTTGTGAATAGAGGATTTTATAGTGTTCTGGATTTTATTTTTTGCTATAGGTCTAGTCAGAGAAAAAGTGAGAAATCACTCCCCAAGAGGGATGGCCGCCCTGCCGTCTCTTCTCCAGTCTCTCGATTTTGGGCACATTCCCACTCACTCCAGCGGTTTTCAAGCTTGAGTCCTGGGCTCCAACCAGTCGGCCATGTGGGATGCAGCACCTTAACCTCTGCCACCTGCAGGTCTCGTGTTTCAGGCGTTTCTGACAGAGGCAGAGACTACAGACGGATATAGCATAGATTAACCTGTATATTTGTATGTGTAAGCTGAAAAGATTTCAAGCCAGAGTAGTTAGTGATATGTTATTATTCAACTGAGTAAAACCAGTATTGAATGTTGTGCACAACAGTAAGAGGACATACAGAAGTTTATAGAAAAATGGAATTTTAAAACGTTAATTTGAGTGGCCAGAATGTGGCACTCTGCTAAAACACACCACTTTTTAAGGCAAAAACATCCCACTTTGGAATGTTCCTGTTCAAGTTTCAAGATCTTGGAGCGTATCTCCAGAACCTGCTTCCTCATGATCTGTGACTGGCTGGAGACTGAAGGTGGATTATGGTGTTAGAATCCTGTTGGGGGTGCTGTTTCTCTCTCTCTCTAGCTCTTAGAAGAAATCAGTAACTTTAAAAAAGAAAGGGGAAAAAAGGCAATTTTTTCAGTGAAACTCTATTTCTCAACCTGAGCTCTACAAGTTCAAGACAGTTTTGTAAACGTTGATGCCAGCAGTTTAATCCAACCCTAAAAAACTAAGGTCCCCAGGAATGTAACCATGTCGACAGTCTTTTTTTATTTTGTTGTGTTGGAGTTTTTCTGCTGTCAGGTAAGTGTACTCATTGGGGGTTGGGGGGAACACCACCTTCGCTCACCCCCAAGGGGGAAGACCACACCACAACCTGTTCTCTTCCATTCTCCTCTTAAGTTTTTTGGGCATGCACACTTGTGCCTAGCATGTTTTCCTTAGTTGCTGGGTCCAAGACTTGAACCATGTGGTTGGCCATGTGGGTCCAACCAACTCAACCACCTCCAAAATTTTTTTTTTTTGAGAGGTTTTCGCTATAGGGCGCATGCGCTCGCCAGACAGAGAAAGACGTAGAGACAGTCCCTTCTCCTCCATTCTCCTCTCGGGATCTTGGGCATGCACGCACACGCGTCCAGAGTGAGTTTTAAGCCACCGGGTCCGGGACACAAACCGTGGTCGACTACATGGGAGTCCAGCGACATAGCCATTACGCTAACTGCTGGTTCCCGCCCTCCAAATGTTTTTGATGATACATTCTTTTAGTACGAAGTTTGTGAACACGTACATCCAATATAAATATTTATATATAGCATACATATTTAGTACTAACTTATACATGTTATAAAACATATTTGAAAATAAACATTATAGGAGGATAAATTACAAAATACATACAAAAATGTTCATACTTTCTTTCCTTACTCTGATCATTTTCTATAGCCCTAGATGTTTAAATTGGGATTCTCCAAAATAAACACTCTGCCCTTTGGAGACCACTGTGTCATTCATACATCATACATTTGTCAGTCATGTTTAATCCAGTCATTTTTCAGATGTTTGCTTATCTTCTCATTTGTCCTGAAATTTTCAAGGCTATCCAAAACATGTAACATTTTTATTCCAACTGTATATAAAATAAGTTCTTGCCCCAGAAATAAACAAGTTTTGCTATTCATCTACTATTCTCCTTCTATGAAATTCTACTACCTACTATATACGAAATTGTATAATATTTGGAATGCATCTTTATTAGAGTAATACTATCTGCTATAACATAATTTGACCCCAAAACAATAAAGGCTCAGATTCAATTAAGTTCTATTTCCCAACATATAATAGCCTAATGCTTCCCTCTGCATGATAATCCAGGAACTCCTGCTTTGTTCCACCACTTTTTTTTAAAGAATTATTTTATTTAACTTTATTTACTTATTTATTTATTTCAATTTGACCAGAAAGGGACAGAGTGAGAGAGGTGGTGAGAAAACAAGCTGCCAGGTTCAGGACTCAAACCATGGTCAGCCATGTGGAGTCCAGCGCCCCAACCACCATGCCACCTGCTGGCCCTCACCATCTTTTTATTAAGAATTATTTTTATTCAATTTTATTTACCTTTTTTATTTTTATTTTTTAATTTGACCAGAGAGCATGGGAAAGTTAAAAAGCAAGCACCAGGCATGAGTTTAAGCCACTGGGCCTGGGACTCAAACCACAGTCAACTACATGGGAGCCCAGCGACATGGCCATTACACCAACTGCTGGTCCCACATTCCACCACTTTTTAAGGTTATGCACATCTAGCTGAAGAAATGGAGTATAGAAAACATAATAGGGCCTAATCACTTCAAGAGTCTTGGCTACAAAACAGTATATTGGATCTTCTGAAAATTCATGACATTTTTCCGTGCAAATATGTCATGATTTTTCCAACAACCCAGTATATCACTCAGTCACATCTAATTGAAAAGGAAGAGAAATGCAGTCTAGCTGAGTTCTCAAGAAGAGAGTCAATCAGTTAATGTCTACTTAACAAAACATAAATCATTCTAAGTATTCAACCAGAAGTAATCTAACACAGCAAATTATTTGCAGAAGTGTTGGAAGGGTTACAGGAGCAAAGAGAATAATAGCTATTGGAAAACAGTGCCTTCCAGGACTGGAGGAGCAAAAAGAGAAGATGGTGTTACCTGAGACCCATGATCACTGTGCCACTGAGGTTTCTGGAGCAATTTCTACTATTTTGTAGTAAGACACTAAAGCCGATACCAGGAGCCTACCACTGCCATACCTCTGCCATACCCAGTGCTGGGTCCACCCTGATGTAGAAGGTACTAGACCAGCATTACCGGTATAGGAGCCCAGAAGCTACCCAACGTTCTTCCAGAAGCAGAAAACACAAAATGACTTCTCTCTCTAGTCAGTCTCTAATCAGTCTCTTACAGATGACAAGAATAATCTGCCCTTTCAGGTACTCAGCATCCGTTCACCATTCTACCATATTTAAATATCCATATAACAAGGAAATAACAAAATGTGTCTGCCTAACAAGATACAAACATTTTTTTAAGAAGAAGGCATTTTCACCCTTTCTCTCCCCAAAAAGAGATAGCACAGCGTCATGTCCATTGCCATATCCATACCTGGGAGATACTAATTCCTTTTTTAGTTCATTCATAGTCCTACCTGGATAGTCTGTACCTTACATTATAAAATTAACAATTCCCAAGAAAACTGACCGACTTTTTGCTAAACCAAGAAAAAAAGAGATGTCTCAAACAACCTACAATACTACTTACATAAATTAAAAAGGAAAGGAAAGAGGAGAATCATTGATATTTTTATATATGACAAGTGTTTCAGATTAAATCATGTCCCCTAAAAAGATGTGTAGAAGCCCTAACTCCTAGTACCTGTGAATATGATCTAATTTGGAAATAGAGCATTTGAGAGGTCATCGAGTTAAGATGAGGTCATATTGAAGTAAAGTAGACCCTAAATCCAACAACTAGTGTCTTTATTAGAGAAGGGAAAGATTTGGGCACTCAGTCACATCAGGATGAAGGCATGGGATGAATAGAGGCAGAAACTGGAATGACACAACCATAAAATAAGATATGGCAAGGATTGCCAGAAACCACCAGAAGCTATGAAAAAGCAAGGAATTCTTCCCTAGAGTTGTCAATGAGAAAGCATGGTCCTGCTAACTCCTTATGTTCAAATTTCTAGCCTCTATAACTGAGAAAAAATACATTTCTATTGTTTTAATCACCATCAACCCCTTAATTCCAACTCTAAGAGCATATTATACTGGTGATAATTTGTTATAGCAGCCCTATGAAAATAATTCAAGAAAGGAAGAGAATATCCTCATTTCTGTTACTGCCCAACAGGCCACGGTTAGTATTTCATTTTTTTAAAAATAACTCATAACTTTAATGCTATTTTTCCACCAACTCTGTTTTTCTTTTTAAGAATTCTTTTACTTAACTTTA